GAGAGAGAGAGAGAGAGAGAGAGAGATAGAGAGAGAGAAAGAGAGGGGGGGGAGAGATAGTGTAGGCCTACATGTTTTGTTTTTGAAAGTGCGAACGAACGTAATAGCAGTAGCAGACGCGGAAATATGCAAGAGCGAACAATGAATTACAAGTGTGAAAATCACGTAATAGTTGTAGTTCATCGATTTACAGAACTAGAACTGATATAATTCTCTCGGTGGTCTTCTAATGATTTTTTTTGCTAAGGTTTGTTTGTTTGGTTGGTTTTTTGTGGGGTTTTTTGTTTTGTTTTTTTGGAACCGTCTTGCATTGTTAAAAAGCTTCACATGTTAAGAGATTTTCTCGCTGCGCCAGACTCGAAATAGACTAAAATCACAATTTTAGCGTTGATTGATTCTGACACGCAGGGTCGAAAGCTTGCCTTGTAAATGATCTAAGTTTCGTCAATGGGGGCGTAAAAACATCTTTTTTAAAGTTTTAATTCTCCACTTTTCTAAAGTGTTTAGATCTAGATCTAAACCCACTTGTTTCTTGTCTGTACTTTTCAGGGGGCTACATCGTGAACGTGTTCCGTGAGGAAGCGGTCCGTGTGGCGTGGTACGAGGAGGGTTTGGAGCCCTTCATGAAACAACTGGAGGCTGAGGGCGTGTGGAAAGAGGAGAGTCGTGAATATTTCCCCACCTTCATCGGAGACGTTCCAGGCATCGTACTCATACATAAAGTCCTGTAACTCTAACAAAGGTTTCGACCACACCGTCCCATTATTATTCACACTATCAAACATTTATCATTTAGTTCCTCTCTTCTTATCAAAACGGTGTCATGCAATCTTTATTTTTTTTAAATAATCTTCGAACACAAGTTGACTTCTCTAACAGATAAAAGCTGTTTATCATTTCAAGAGGTTGATTTTTATACGCGATACAAGAAACATTCACTTCAAATTTACACTTGTGTTCAACGGTATTTTGGTATAAATCACCACCACCACCCCCTTTCCCCCTTGGAGGAGGGGGGGGGGGATTAAGCTGATCTAACAATAGTTTTTTCAAATCTAATCAACGGCTGTCACTTCCAGACAAGCTGCTTCTTTGTGTTTCAATATTTCATGCTCACACAATTTTCCTTGGAACATGTATTTGGCAGGCTGTGGGGGGAGGTGGGGGGATCATTGTAAATGTTTATCGGTGAAAGGCTCTTTACTCATGATACTTTTGTTTAGTATAATATTAAGTACTGCGTCAAGACAAAACCTTTGGCCAACAATTTTGCTGGGGATTTGTTCACAATGAAAATAAGTGAAGTACATCTACAATGTGCGACTAATTACCGTACTGTATTGTGTTGTTTCGTAGACTTCTCTTATTTCCATTGTCCACTGCTCTCCCACAAAGCTATTGATCTACGACTTTGTTGTAGTGTGGTACTACTTCTAGGCTTGTCATATTCCAATGTACAATGTATATTTAATTTTGTAGCACCACTCGTGGTTTGTTGTAGCAATATGTGTAGTTTAAACACCATCAATATCAAGGCACTTACAGCTGTCTTGTTTTTGTTGTTGAACATAATTTGTGATTTCAAATTTCAACGCAGTTTGCTCAATTGTTACTTATTGTTGAGACTGAATTGTGATGAATAAATTGTCATAAAGGGGGAAAATCTCCTCCAAATATTTGGTGATTTCATTTCCCTTTTTCCTGCATCGGTAGAATATGACTAGCAACGGAGAAAAAATTCCTAAACTTTTAGGACCCGTGGAAACGGATCACATTGTCTAATACATTGTACTTTCATTTTGTATTAAGATTGTTTTCGCCACCATCAACCTGAAGTCAGGTGGAAACAGTACAGTTTCAGGAATCGGGATTTCTAGATTCATCTGGAAAATCGGCAAATCTGATACATGTACATAGTAATTTTTTAGCATCTCAGGAAAGGAATGAATGGGAAACTAAACTCGCACAAAAAAGTCAAGGAACAAAATTTCAAAGAAAGATAACTTAAGAACAGTTTAACCAAATTTATTCATTTTTTCCAAAAAGTTGCTTTCGACTCTTTAGATTACGTGTGTACAATTTCAGATTTCAACAAAAACGAGAAGTTCGTGTAAAATGAGTTTAAGTCACACTGGTCGGATTTCAAAAGTCTGAACAGCCATAGTTCTTCATGAACATGGTCAATAGTGGGTACTGCCACCCGGTTTGATCAAACACTCGGCACAGCGTCGACGTATGGACAGGACATGCCTTCGGAGGACTTGTTGCAGTAGGTTCTGCCCCTCCTGGACGAGGTAGCCAAGAGTTGCTTAACGTTTTGTGCAGGAGGGTGGTTGTCTCTTATCCACCGGTCAATGGGATCCCAAATGTTCTCTATTGGGTTCAAATCTGGACTACAAGCTGGTCAGTCCATGCGGGTGGCAGCTCGCTGCTGCAGGAAGTCCCCAACGATGCGTGCGCGATGTTGCGTGGCGTTGTCGTCCTGCAGTACAGCCTGGGGTCCAATCTGTTGCAGGAGAGAAACAGCAAGGGGGACGCAGGATTTCCTTCCTGTACCTTGCCGCGGTCAAATTGCCCTGTATATGGTACATGGGGTCTTGTGGTGAGCTGAGAAGCCTCCCCACACCAGAACGGGCCCTCCACCGTAGGGCGCCACATGCTGGATGCACTCAGGGTGGAACAGCTCTCCTCGGCGCCTCCAGACGTGGGCTCGCCTGTCTAGGTGCAGCAGGTTGAATCTGGATTCGTCCGAGAAGACTACCTGGTCCCACTGACATTGTGTCCACTGTGAATGGTGAGCAGACCACGCCCGACCAGCTGCTTTGTGGGGCAGCGTGTGCCTTGGGCGCCTGGCAGGGACACGAGAAGCGAACTTGGCTCTATGGTTACAGTTCCTTACCGTCTGCTCGCTCTCTTGGACATTGGCAGTCACCCGTAGTTGGTCCCTGGTGTCGTTTGAAGTAGTGGTTCGTGACATCACAGCCTGTCTGACGATGAACCGGTCGATGCTGTCGTTGGTCAAACATGGCACCCTGGTTGAGGCCTGTCCTGGACCCTTCCGGTCGCTCGTCATCGTTCTTTCAGCCTCCTTATGACTGGTGGGGACACCCCAAGTCGATGTGCAACAATTGGGAACGTGGAGCCATCTTGGAGCCAGGCAAGGACTCGTCCTCTGTCGACATCAGGCAGCGAGCGTCGTTGGACCATCGTGTTGTAATGAAGCGTGGCTGAAAATCGCTGCCTTATAAAGGGTTGTAAGGGAACAATAATCGCAGCTAAGACATCTGTTTAGCACGTGCCAAGCTTAGTTTTAGCTAACAGTCCCTATGCCAATGTTGCTGAAGCAGAGAAATTTAGCCCATTTTTCATGATTTTTCGACTGTGTTTCAGAATGCCCTGCGCCGTCAATGTGAAGCTAGTGCGGGCAAATTTGCTGTACAGGCAAACTGTGTCTAGTCGTCAGTGCGTGTGCCAAGTTTGGTTGACTGATCTTAACGGGTTTGTGAGATATTGAAGTTTAAATTTGACAGGTGAAAACATAAGCTGTTCCTTGACTTTTTCGGGCGAGTTTATGAACGCCGATTTTTTTTCTAAGAGCACTTGGTGATGATTCCATATCACTGGATCTATATACACACAAGACAAAATTATTTGTGGAAATTCCATCACGCACACTCATCCTTTGGCCTCCGAAGGACTTATCTATCTGAATCATTTGTGGCACATGGACTGATGACGGTCATATCGTGATTGCAACAACAAAAAAAACCTGTTGTTTTAGTGCCCTTTTCACTTTCAACACTGGAAGCTTATTCCGAAGACAGGACTTCCTTCACTAAACTGTCTTCTCACAACTGAGAAACAGAAAGTTTTTCGTTGTTGTTTTTTCGTGTTTTATTTTTGTTTTGTTTTGTAGGGTTTTTTTAAAATTCTTAATAGCAAATCATTTTTGTTCGGGTCGGATCAACATCAGACTTTTAAAGTCCAACTCACTCTAGATTCTTCACCGCTCACCTACTTCACAACCAATGCATTTTCCCAAGCCCAACTCACTCTTTGACTAAACTTCTTTCGGTACATGTACCAATACATTTTATAAGTCCGCATTCCCGCGGAGTAATCCCAGGCTCTTTATACTACTCACATAAACACACACACACACACACACACACACACACTCACACACACACACACACAGACACACACACACACACACACAACCACACACTCACTCAAACTCACATACACTCACACACACACACACAAACACACACACACCACTCTCTCTCTCTCTCTCTCTCTCTCTCTCTCTCTCTCTCTCTCTCTCTCTCTAACACACACACACACATACACACACACACACACACACACACTTCCTCTCTCTCTCTCTCTCTCTCTCTCTCTCTCTCTCTCTCTCTCTCTCTCTCTCTCTCTCTCTCTCTCTCTATTTCACGAACACACACACACACACACACACACACACACACACACACACACACACACACACACACACACACACACAATCCACGCGATATAAAATGTATGATGTTATTTGCATCCCCTCTTTGACCCCAATGTATCAGAGTAGAGCAGTGACGCGCTCATTTGGAGCCTAAATTTCCAGAACTTTGGCCTTCAAAAAATGTTTTGTGTAAGGGCCAAGATGACCTGGAGGTGGCTGTGACGAACAGACAAAGGTCATAATGTATTATCACACCTTCTATATAAACTGCTCCATATCGACCTTAAAACTTAAACCTTTTGTGAGCTTTAGGACTGCACTTTGGTATGTACCATTTTAGTTTGTGAACTTGTACCTGTAATAGTAGGCCCTCACTGTTATTGAAGTCTGGCGTCTGCGTTATTTATTTTATTTTGTTTTTATTTATTTATTTATATATTTATTTATTTATTTATGTAAGTGTTTTACGGCGCTTGCAACTGCATACGGTCACATTTAAACATTATCAGTTGGTAAAAAATATATTTGAATTTTGCCCAGGTGGCAGCCAAGGCCTACTCTTATCGAATGTAGCACCACCAAGAGATGTTTAACATGCGCAACTTGCACTTGGGACATCCGAGATATTTTCGCCCTTATCCGAGAAAGGTGTTCGATCTTACCTAAGGTCACAGGTATGGCTGAAAGACAGCAGTAGAAAGGAGCCAGGAAATAGCAGTAGAAAGGCAGCAGAAAGAGCCAGGAGCCCCTAGGAGGTGGCAAACAGAAAGTAGAGACGAAAGCAGACGACAAAACATGGTTAGAGAGCAGAAAAGAGGGTAAAAGGAGAACGTTTTTTTAGAGAAGAATATGCCCATCGTTGTCAGGTTTTGAACCCGGGGCTTGTTGAATCAGAGACGAACACCGAACCTCTAGACCACGAGAGCCCTTTCTGACGTCTATGGTGTAGCGGCCAGGCGTTGCACGGTCGCGGGTGGAGACCCGAGATAGGGAGAGGTTTTTTCCCCTTCTATTAATTGAGTAACGGTTCGTTCTCACCAAACATCCGCGTTCGTGTGGTATCCAGTCCCCGAGGTTTTATGCACCCCGCATAATGGAGCAAAATTTGATCATTTTTTGCATAATTTCTGATTATTTTCCTTGATCATTCTTTGTTTAAAATTAACAGAATCGCATAATTTCAAATTTTTTTTGACTCAGTTGGTATAATTTCATATTTTTTTAATGCATAAAACAGCGGGGACAGGGTATCGTATGTGAAACGCACGAAATACTTTGTGTGTTCCCACCAACTGTTTGTGTTCATGCGGTAGGAGTAGTTGTCGTTCGTGCGTGTGGTGAGTTTCGTGGCAGCCATAAAATTTCATCCGTCTGCTCTCGTGTCGTGACCGACCGCTCACTCACTGAGTCAACTTACCACGAGGACCACGAGGCAACCATACCAAGGAGCTTAAAACAACTGTACTGTAACCTCCTTGATCGATTCGCTACTCAGTCCTCATTTCCATATTGATATAAAACACGCACGGTAACCCACGACTAGACAGACGGATGATAGGTCATAGGTGTAAATGTGCACACGTTTGTGCGTTAAGGGGGGGGGGGGGGCTACACCTGAAGGCTATTTCGCTTATTACGGGACCGAATTTTACCAAATTTCATACATATAACAAGCATAGTAAGGAGTCTAAAAATCCGCAATCAAATTTGAGAAAAGTTTCGTTTCCATGGTTACGGCGGCCATATTTGATTTTGTTGACATGTCTTACGTAATGAATATCGCACTTATCGCTCTTGGAAATTGATTGGGGGGTTTTTTGCATGCGTGTTCACAAATATTAGATCTAAAAATTTGTCTGTCGTTTTTGTCTTAAATAAAATAGAAAATTTTTAATGAATTTTTTCCTGAGGTAGATCTAGATCTAGTATTCAAGTTAGCAAAAAATCCGTAAAAATCCACACTCCAGACACCACCAACAAAAATCTATTCCATATATATCAAAACTTCAAGAGACAGATCTTTAGTATTACATCATCTCTTCATTCTGTGAAAGTTTCATGAAGATAGGAAGAAAAATGATTGAATTATTTAAAAAAGTATAGACAAAAATCGCGTTTTGAGAAAACGGCCGATAAAGAAAAATAAAACACTTACTTTATGAGAAAATGGTGGTGACAAGCAAGCCCGGTATGGGAATAAAATACGGCTTTTGGGGGGTACTTATGCGATGAAATACGAGGGCTGTCCCACGGAAAACCGGAAAAGGTCCGTAAAAGCAAAAATCTTTGTCCTATTATAATAAAACTGTAACACATCATACCTCAACATGTGCTTTATTTCTCAATGTAATCACCATCCCGCTGGACACATTTTTCCCATCGCTGGATCTGGGAGAAGATACCCTCCCTGAAGAATCTTTCGTCAAGGGATTTCAACCAATCGTTCACGGCTTCCACGAGGTCTTCGTCATCGGTGAATCGCTGTCCGGAAATATGGCGTTTCATTGGTTCAAAAAGGTGATAATCTGACAGGGCCAAGTCAGGGCTGTGAGGGGGGTGTAGTAGAACTTCCTAGCCGAACCTTTGGAACCAGTCTTTGCGGTGTGTGGCGTTGTGTGGCCATGCTGCAAAATGACCCCGCTAGTCTTTTTCGGCCCCAACCCATCAAGCAGAGACCTTTCAATAGTGCAGCTCATCAAACTCTATCCTATAGACAGTCGACTTTGAAATGTTTAGCGACTCGCAAATTTCGCGAATTTTTAGGCGCCTGTCTGTTTGAATAAGTTCGTTAACGTGACTCTTGTTGTCCCCAGTCTTGGCAGAAAAACAAGATCCTGGGTAAACTTTGTCATTGATATCGGAGTGCCCGGCTTTGAAATTACTACATCGCTCATATACCTGTGACTTTGCCATTACTTTCTCCCCATAAACTGACTTTATTTCAGTGTGTATTTCTAGAGGTTTAAGACCTTTTGTGGTCAGAAACCGAATGACAGACCTCACTTCTACCCTTGACCAATTTTCCAAGGGGATAGCCATCTTTTGAGAACTGCTGTGCTCGTTTGGTTTGTGCGATGCTCATGGTGCTCAATCGGGAAATTTCTAAATGATTGTTTTACAAGTGTGCGTTTACAGAATGTGAAAATATTGAATAGTTTTCAAATTACAGCCAAATTCCGGTTTTCCGTGGGACAGCCCTCGTAGTTGTAGGAGAGGCTGAGGTAGCTAAAAATGCCTACAACTCAAATCCCATAATTTTGGGCCGAATTTTGACTTTGGGGGGTGTTGCCACCCCCATGCACGAAGCCACATGAACGTGGATGTTTGGTGTGCACGAGCCGTGACGGTTTTTCTGCTCTGCTGGGATCGAGAGAGCCATGCTGTCAGTCTCGGCTGGGATCCATTTGTAACCGCTCAGCCCGGCTTGGCCTTGACAGGCAGGGTCGAAGCACACCTCCCGAGGCAAGGCGTGTAGATCTAGGCTACATACTACATGGCAACAACAGCTGTGCTTCTCGTTTCAATTTAGTGAGTGTAACACAGAGATTCAGAGCCATGAGCAACAACGGGCTACCGGTAAGTTGTGATATAATACAAAACTTTTCTGTCACCAGAAACCGAAATTGCTTGTGCATGTGATGCTTCTCTATTAAAAATATATAGAACCTAAGTGTTTACACTGACGCGACAAAACTGGTGCAGCTAGTTGCCCTGTGCTCGCCTGACCTAGTCTAGATCTAAATGATCTTCTAATTTGTATCTATGGATGTACTCAGAACCCGGTAGTTATTTAAGAGTTTCTGACAGACACCTCTGAATATCTTCCTTAGTTTCGGTTCGTTTCGTGTGTCGGGTGAGGTTTCATGACCTATGCACTGTACTTACATCTAGATCTAGATCTAGATCCATATGAATATATTTTTAGCTCTACTTTATTCTACACACCGAAACCAGTTTATGTAGAAGAAGTAAGGGGACGTGCAAATATAATCTTCCGCCTGGAAAGGGAAGGGAGGGGGATCTTTGGCTCCTGTAAGAAAATTGTGAGAAAACAGGGGTGGGAGTCTTGAACCAATGTAATATTTCACTTTTGTGAGGAGAAAAAATAACAGGGAAAACATTTATGACTACAAATTTATCTTTGAACAAGCACATAAAAAGAGAGTTAGATCTGACTATTCATGTAGAGCGGTAACACGGCATTATAATATGCCGGGGCGATACATCAGTAGGCCCTCGAGTGGCAAGTATGAATATGCCATCTCGCACTTTATAAACTGGTTGTCTAATTTTCATTACACGGGTGCTGTTTAAGTGGTAAAATGACACATACGTTTTTGTTTGAAGCATAATGATCAGCAATTACAGACACTGTGGAATCCGGATAAAGTCAACTTGCATAAAGTCAACACCTCACTGTGGTCCCGTTTTTAAAAAAAAATCTTTTTTAAGTAATTGTGTTCTGATACTGTCAACCGCTTGAATGTTAAACTTGCGTAATATTTTGAAAAATTTGGAGCTAAATCCCAATATGAATTCATTTAAGAAGAGATATTTAGGGCCTGAGCATGAATGACAAAAATTATAGTTGAAATACATTGAAGTCTGTGTCGCTACATTTTTTCTCATACCTGAAACCCCACCAGCACACCAGAAGGTAAAGAATCCGAGTGTAGGTCTGTTCTGACAATACTTTTCACGAACTAGAATGTGTGTACAGAAATATTGATTTTTTAAAAACCTCAACGTTTCAGAAAAGTAAAGTTCAGAAGGCCACGAGTACAACAATAATATCTTTTTAAAGGCACGCATCACCTACGTCCTCACAAGTCACGATGGCCAAATTTCGTGTGGAAAAAAAGTATTAAAAAGCTGAAGTGAGATTTTTTTGTCAATGTAGGTGTTCTTACGCCCTCGTCTACACTTTTCAGATCATTTAGGAGGCGTGCTTCTGCCTCTGCCTGTCAGGGCTAACCCTGGCTTTGAAGGATGCAACATCCCAGCCGAAAGACCGAAAGATACTCGATAAAAATGTCTTCCCACTCGTGAATCTAACTCGGGACTCATGCGCACGACAATGAAGCGCCTAAACACTATACCACCGACGTCGGAATACAATTTGTTTGGCCGGTCGTCCTCTCTGTCTGATCTGCCGAGTCAAAATGAATTGTAGCATTCCTCTGTAGACCAAAGAAGTTATAGTTATTATGTCAAGACTGGAGCTCAGGGGCTTCTCATGGTCAAGAGGTTACGATGGTTGCCTTTCATTTAACAGGTCCTGGGTTCGAAACCTAACAGCAACAGAAATTTTATTCTCCAGAACTTTCTCCTTACACCTCCTTTCCTGCTCTCTAACCATCTAACCATGTTCTGTCGTCTTCTTTCGTCTCCACCTTCCCGTCACCCCCCCCCCTCCCCCCCCCCAAAGAAAAAAACAACAACAACCGGCTTTTGCCCCCTTTTCTGGTCTCGATCCTGACTCTTTCTGCAGCCGTTCTACTGCTACCCCTTGGCTCCTTCTTATCGCTGTCTTTCGGCCTTTCAGCCACACCCTTGATCTTTGGGTAGGTAAGATCTAACACATAGCCTTCTCGTTTAATTTAATTATTAGCCTTCTCGGATAACGCCGAAAAATCTCGGAGGTCCTGTGTGCAAGTCGCGCACGTTAAAGATCCCTTGTTGGTCCAAAACTGATAAGAGTAGACTTCGGCCGCTACCCGGGTAAAATTAAAAAATCAATTCCTACAAAACTAAAAATGTGTAATTTGTCCCGCGCACTCAAATGACCTTATGCAGTTGCGAGTGCCGAAAAACACTTACCAAAACGAACAAAGACTGAAGCTTACGGCAGTGACGTCACACGAGTCAGACACAGGTCCCTTTTTGTTCTTAAAGGCATGGCCGGCGCGCCCCCATGTGCATGAACAATCTTAGCTCCCACCTTGCTCCCCATGAGTTCTTGTTGATCTATACTAAATACGCCCTGCCCCACCATTTCAGTGCAAGCTTGTAGATTTTCTCCTATTACTGTCGACAGGACGTTTCCATGTGAGTTAAGAAAATGCCCACCCTTTGTTGTTGTTTGTATTTGTAAAGTGTTTTACGGCGCTCGCAACTGCATAAGGTCATATGAGCGCGCGGGACACACCTAATATTTTCAGCTGGTATGAAATTTTGAATTTTACCCGGGTGGCGGCCGAAGCCTACTCTTATCGATTTTAGACCACCAATGGATCTTTAACGTGCGCAACTTGCACACGGGCCCTCCGAGATTTTTCGCCCTTGTCCGAGAATGCCCACCCTTTGCTGTTCTTTACCTTAAGCGGGGTTCACACATACAGGAGAAGAGTCTATGAGTTATTCTCGATAAAATAATGCCAAATTCGGGTTTAATCGTGATGAGCATCTGGCCATGACTGTTGACATCATTGTGTAGCCGAGCCCTCGGGGAGACGCTTGCCGAGCAATAATTTAGGACGGCAAGCATCATGCCGAGTATCTCGCCAAGCGTCTCGCCAAGCGTCTTGCCGAGCAATTAGTTTGAATCCTGGCCACTTACAGAGCCAAGAAACGTGGTGGACAAACTCGCCGACCATGCTGACCGTCGCCGAGTTAGTCGGTGTGCAATGTTATAAATCATATTTATGGGGGGGGGGGGCAAAATGTTTGAGCTCATTCCGGAGATGCAGATCTTGGAGTAGACGACGTTCTGGGTTCTTTTTCAAAAGCAGCAGGAGCACGACTGGGAACAGCAGCAGCAGAAGTATCTGTGCCCGCAGTTTTATGAAAAACAAATTCAGAAATTACGCAAACTGAGCCCAAAAATGTGAAATTATGCGATTCTGTTAATTTTAACAAAGAATGGCAAAGGAAAATAATCAGAAATTATGCAAAAAATGATCAAATTTTGCAAAATTATGCGGGGTGCATAAAACCACAGGTACAGAAGTATCCTGAAGTCTCACGAAGGCAGGCTAGACAGCAGAGCTCGGCACACGTTAATAAGGGTTTGGTGTGTGCAGACTGGTATCTACAGAAGGTGGAGCATCAGCAGCTGCAGCAGCAATTCTCGTAGACTTTTTTCGGAGGCATAATAACGTTAGTAAATGGTCGATTTGTAGATAACCAGCGTAGATGTAGATCGTTTTGCAGCTGAGTAGTGAATGAGGCATAGACTGTGTGCTGTGCGTTTATGGTAAAGGCGCAAAGATCGCCGTGTCACGGTGCGTGCTCGTCGTGTCTACTTTTGCGCGCTGTCCTTGAGTAACTCCCGACGGTGCGTGCAAGATTTTTACATGGCGAGCAATAATTTAACCCGCAGAGTATGAGATTGAACTCGGCTACCATTCAGATCTCGTCGGCGTGTCACTGACGTTTGCAAGCAATTTACATGGATGCGGGTTGGCCACACATGGACGATCCTTATGTATTACAGGGTGTCTCCAAATCACCAGACTCCATTGCTCTATATTGGTTTAAAGTGCTTCGTTAGCTTAGTTGGTATCGTGCTGGACAGCGGAGAGGATGGACCTGGTTCGAATCCCAGACTGGCGTTCTTGAAGTGGTGTCGTTTTGTGGAGTTTTCAAAACTCTCAACTTGTTTGGCTCGGTTCTGTCAGAGACGGACATTAAATTTGGAGGTCCCGCCTCTTAAATATCAATAATCGTTAGTTCGGATCCCGCTAGTTCTCATTGGGGTGATAAACCTATACCCTTTTACATTTACAATGGTTTAGTTGAACGACATATTTATCCATTTCTATACGTTGTCAACCCACATACGTGAACGAATATTGAAGGGTTCGAAACCAACTAGATGTGCTGTTTTGAGAACAGTGCAGCCCGATTTCTTTTGTAAACAAACACACAGCAGTGCAGTCCGGCGAGTTTTGAGACAGCCTGTAATAGGTCCCGATGAAAGCACGTCAAAGCTTCATCCACCAGGTCGAAGTCGACGAGAATGACGAAATCCTGGACCTGTTGAACTCAAATTCTCATCCAAAACACGTGTTTCACCGAGACAGTAGGAGACACAGACAGAGCAAATATTTTGCTGCACCTTTCGTTCTGGTCAGTGTTGGCTGACCTCTCCACGCCCGTGTTCATCTGCTGGGATTGCTTGTAGTCACATCGGCAAGCGTTGTCCTCCCGAGTGAACAGCAAGTCTCGTGCGATAAAGAAAAAGAACAGAAGCCTTTGACGTCCCTGCAATGTGACAACACTATCACGTGACTATACAATTAGCGTCAATTTTACACCATATTCAATTCAAATCTTGAGAATAAAGGCCACCTTTACCAGCGCTTGGCTTGGGCTGTGAACATAATACTACAAAAGAGGTTATCATTGCTACATAGAACTATAGACAGCGAAATAACTCCATTTGTGTTTGAGCGGTTAATCAGATACTTGCACTGTATGTTTCCGGGAAAGCCAAGAATGTTTCTGAGTGTTCTAGGGTCTGCTGAGGTACAGTAATAATATAGGTATAAAGTGCGTAGAGCTTGCTGTCATGCGGGGATATATGCTCTAACAAAATATGTTATTTATTTATTATCATTACATTCTCTCTACAGAAGTTCCTCAGGATTATATCGAGGTATCAGCGGAGTGTCTTTCAGACAAGAGTTGTCCAACAGACTCATCTGACCAAAAGACTTCTGTCCTCGTCCCATCTGAAAATGGCCGATACAAAACCCACACGAGAAGATGCCTTGGCCGCTGTTGGCGCTTACTTACAGAAAGGTCAAGGAGCCGAGTCAACCGCTAAGCTATATGACGACACAGCGGACAAGTATGACCAGGTTTGGATTTGTTTCTTTTTGTTTTTTGTTTTTTGCTTCTGTTGATACATATATCTGCTGGCCACTTTAACTCTTTGAGCCCACACATTTTCGCTTGAAGACGCACTTTTGGGGCACTTAAAAAAAGAAACAGAACTACGGCATGTATTGTTTCAACTACATTTTTCTTTATCTTTAATTTTAAAAAGCATCTACAACACGCAAACTATGATATAGATCTATGCAGATTCGTGTTCCTGATTTGTGTTGGAAAGTTCGAAATGTGCCACAACTTGGTCATTGGTCTGCTGTCGATCATTTGTGCCCGCTACGACCTTAAAAGGTAAATAGCATCTGTGGTGTAATTAGGCGCTTCGCTGTCGCACGCAGAAGACTTGAGTTAGATTCCAGAATGGGGCGGATTTTTATGAGTATCTCAGTCTTTCTTTCTTTCAGTTCGGGTGGCCCTGACGGGCAGGGTCGAAAGCCTGCTTCCTAAATGATCTAAATCGTATCGATGTGGATTTTTAAAAAGGGCAACATGTACGTTACATGGTCATTTTTGTGTCATGGGCACAAGCAGGTAACAACGGTTGGACCCTCATCATCAGTAATTTATTTATAGTCACCAGCCTTCAACGACGGTTGGATAACGTGTAATCTGTGTCATTGTTTTAAGGATTTTTTAAAAATGTATATGTAAAGTGAAACTATCTCTGGTGTATACACTACCTACAGGAATGATTACACTCATCATCCTTTCTCGCAGAAGACATGAGTTCGTTGGAGAAATGTTATACTTGGAGTATATAATAATATCCATCCTTATTCTGGGACGACGTTGTACAACCTGTACCCCACTTAGCCCGGGTTGGCATTGAGTAACAAGCAGTTTCGACGCAGCCCTCCTAAATATTCAAAAAAAATTCTATTGAGCGATAAATCATTGATATAAATTAATCAAATTTCTCTTTATTGATCCCAGTGGGGAGATTTGTGTCAAAATGACAAACATACACACCTAAATAAATTTTTAAACACACACCTATACATACAAAGAATATCAAATACATACTATCACACCAATGCAGACAATTTTACAAACATGCCATTGCTGGTCTCCACTATGCTGTGCCCTGCTTTATTTTTTTTTTTAGCTAGGGTTATCTTGTTTAGCTTTAGGAGACACCCCAGTGATCACCCATCTAAACCCTGTGCCACCGACTCTTTCTTCTCGCTATGAGTATTTTTGGGTCTGAACTAGTTTCTCGGCCACTGGAACCCTCATTCACAATCAATACGAAAAAAAAATCTATAAATAGTATGTATAGTTAATGTCACCTTGCGGAGTTTAATATGAAAATACTTTGAATTCTGCACAGTACATGGAGGCGCTCAATTTCGGAGGCCCAACCCAACTGGCCAAGTCTGTGAGTGCGTTGATAGGAGACAGGTTTGACATCAAAATCATCGACATTGGCGCCGGCTCGGGACTGTCTGGACTTACAGTAAGTTGGTGTGTCCTTGGTTTTTCATTGGTTTCTTTTAGCATATTATTCATAACTGAGGGTTCCTTTTCCTTTTGATTGTGATTAGATTTATGGATTTCGTCCGTGCTGGCGCTCCACTCTTGGTTCGTTCTTGAACTGGTCGTTCTTGAACTGGTCGTTATGTGGTTTTCAAGGCATTAAGCTCATGTGGATCAGTCCTATCGGATACGGAGGTTGAATTCGGAGGTCCCGTGTCTTAGATAACCTAATGGTGTAGATAGGGCGTTAAACGCATACTCTTACATTTTCCCCCTTTTTTTCCCCATCTGTGCAATCTGGGTGAACGCAGACCTAGTATATGTGCCTGCAGTGTTTCAGTTCATGAAGACCTTGTCCATAGATTAAATACACTCAGAATCTGAAACGTGTCGGAACGTTTATAAGTTCGTTTTGTGAAGTTTTCAAAGCTCTCGATCTACCCATTTGACTCGGCTCTTAAATAACCTAACGGATAGTGTCGATTGGGGTGTTAAACATGAGTGGTTTGCGGGTGCTCCGGTGTGGTTTGCTTCTTCTTTCCTATCAAACATCTATGATCTATCGTCCTTGTCTCCTCTTCTTCTTTTTTGTGTTTGTTACTCTCTTGCAACACCTCTAATCTTCTGGCGCTCATATGACCTTATGCAGTTGCGAACGCCGTAAAATCTCTATTAAAGCTAAAACTAAAAGGGGTGTTAAACCTGTACACTTACTTTTTTTCTCTGATCGTTTTTGTTTGGGGATTTATCTTAGGTCTATCAAGCCGGGTACAAGAACATTGATGCTGTGGATGCCTCTCAGGGAATTCTTGACGCTGCGAAACAAAAGGGAGTTTACGGGAAGCTGATGTGTCAACTCGTGGGAGATACCCCTCTACCAGTGGAAGACAGTGAGTGATGTTTGCCTGCATGTATCTGATCGTGATTCGTTTCTGCTCTCTGTCTCGGTGTCTCGGTGTCTCTCGGTGTCTCTCGGTGTCTCTCTGTCTCTCTCTCTCCCTCTCTCTCTGTCTCTCTCTCTCTCTTTCTCTCTCTCTCTGTTTGCTTGTCTGTCTGTTTGCCTCTCTCTCTCTCTCTCTGTCTCTCTGTTTCT